ATGCAAATCAGTGCGAACTTGATCCTTTGGGCACTAAAAACCTTGAGAAAACAGGATGATTTCTGCTTCCCTCACTTCAGTAAGTTGTCTTGGGGCTACTTCCAGTTGTTTATTGGAGTGTACAAGTGAGAGTGGCTTTCTGGGTGTATCATCTTTTCTTTATGACTATAATAACCTCAAAAAAATAAGCATATATCTCTTTCTAGAAAGAAAAAAAGATGTCTTATAATCCTAGGCTGAAGCTTCGGGATTGGAACTGAAATGAGCTACTGGGAATGCAGAAATTACATTGAGATTGATTCAAAAGAGGAGACGATTTCTGTGAGTAAGCATGAAGAACAAAAGTGGAAAAGCTGGAAAAGGTATTTTTCCAAATTCAATAAAATATGGAGTGAAAAGCTTTGAAAAATGGTGATGTTACAAAGAAAATGAAGTTAAGAAATTTTTTTTCTCTACAGCTACAATTAATGGCAAGAAAGTTATGGCAATAAAAGTTATAGAAAGAAAAATGTAATGAGTCTGGTAACAAGTACTGTAGTGTAAACATTAGAATCCCAGTTTATGACACCATACTTATTATTTACATACCCTGAACACTCAAGAGGGATTAAAAAAAAAAAAAAAAAAAAGTGTGCTGTGAATTGCATAAAGATTTTATGAGCTTATTCTGAATGTTTCGTTTCTATCATAATATTATGCAGCAAAGTAACGGCATGAGCAGAGTGAAACTCCTAAATTTGAGAAAATCTCACGTCTTGTTTACAGGTTCAAAAGGTTCAGTATGTTCTGTGGAGGCTAAAGACAACTAATAAAATATCCATTAACAATTTGGTAACACTTATCCCCTAAACAAGTAATTCCTTAAGTTTCTGTACAATTTAGTTTCAATAGCTCTGATGTAATTCCCTGGCAGTAAAACAAATCATGCTATTTCATCAGATTATTAAGTTTTGTATCACAGATTGAGCTATAAATACTACAAATTCTTATATTAAATAGAACCTTTTACAGGATCTTAGTCTGGAAACACTGTGCATATAATTACACTCATGTGAACTGTCTTTAACATTTTTCTGAGTACAGACTCAATGCATAACTTCCAGATTTTCAGATTACTGTCTTTCATTACCATACACGCTGTCTTTGTAGGGCACTTTTACTTTGCAAATTATCTTTTGTTTGTTTTAGAATGCAAAACAGTTTCAAAGGAACCAGAAATATTTTTAAAACATGAATTACTGATGTCACACTTCTAAGCCAATACATTAAAATGGTATCCCCTTAGCAACTCTGTGTACTGAGTGATGTTTATCGTTGGATTAATTAGCAGGACTTTTTGTTTTGTTTTCCATTTATTTGTTTTATCATTTATCTTCATCTTTTCTGTACAGATGTTAGAGGTTTCTTTTTTTACAGAAGATAGTAGTAACTACCATGAATCAGCATCCTCTCAAGAAGCAGAGATCACATGTCAATAAATACCTCTGTCTTATCATACCAGGCTGAGGCTTCAGGAATGGAAGTGAAATGAACTACAGGGAATGCAGAAATTACATTGAGACTGGTTCAAAAGTGGAGAGGATTTCTCTGGGTAAGCATGAAGAACAGAACAAAGCTGGACAAACAAACTGGATTTCTCTGCAAGAAGAGAGGGATGTGTGGAGAAAGAGAACATCAATCCTAAATAAAGCTGCAAGATGTTACCTGTGAGATAAGCAGTCACCCATGCATACATCTTGCCATGAGGATGTATAAGCTGGCAGATCAAATGAACACAATCAACCCTGAATAGGATGAATGAGCAGGCACAATATGTAGATAATGTTAGCTGAATTTTTGGAGCAGGCAAGACTGAGTTTAGCAGTACTGCTCGCCACTGACTTCAGTAATGTCTCATGATCTTCCATCACCTCTCCAGCATTTTTCTCAAAACACAAATTAAGTGAAACAAGTCCCTTTTTACATGTCCAGAATAATATTAACTACAATATGGATGTCATCACACTGGATATCTTCACTGGCAGTTTCAGAAAAGATTTCAGGCTCCATTTGTGAGGGCAGAATTGCTCTCTCACACATCATTGTCCCTGAAGTACACAGGTACATAGAGGCAGAGTGGTATTTCTCTTCCTTGCATGTATTGCATTTTTTCCAAATACAAGAGAAAATTTCAGAACAATTACTTGTCTCTTTGAAAAGCGCTGTGTTTGCTTGAAAAAGTAGTTGACTAATGAGCAATACTAAAGGTGTTGAATCTTTCCTGAAGGACCTCTGATTAATCTGTTTAGTTATCTGATGAAACCATCACATTTGTTGTCTTTGATATCACCTATCAGTCTGTGTCACTTTTGCTGATCTTGTGGTTTCCTCTGGCTAGGTTTTGTACTCACACTTGTCTCCTAACTAGCTAAGGATTGCTAATACTGACAAGGATGTAGTCTGATGGAACATATTGGTAGGAAATTTCTTATTTCCCACAATTATGAGTATATTCCCAGAATAATATTTCTAGTTATGCCAGAAATTTTCATGGAACCTCTTTTTGTGAAAGAAACACAAAGTTTCCAACTATACATTTTCCCCTGTTGGTGCTTCTGTCATCCTTAGCTTCCGCAGGGTTTTCTTGTGGGACCTCCTTAATTCCCTTTTCAGAGATCATTAAGGTTGGAAAAGACCAGGAAGGTCATTTAATTCAATTATCAGTCCATCCCCACCAAACCATATCCTCAGTGCCACATTTACATGTTTCTGGAAAACCACTAGGGATGGTGACTGCAGCCTGTTCCAGTACCTCACCACTCTTCCTGAGAAGAAACTTCCTAACATCCAACCTGAAACTCCCCTAGCAGAACTTGAGGATATTATCTCTCGCTCTATTGTTACCTGAGAGGAGAGGCTGATTCCCACCTCACTACAATCTCCTTTCATGTAGCTGTAGAGGTGCAGCCTTCCCTCAGCACTACTTTCACCAGCAAAAGTGGACTTCGTGGCCAGTGTGTACTCTTGTCACAAGCCAAAGAGGAGGGGAGGTTCTGAACCCTTCTGAGTCTAAATTGCAAACATGTGACTGAACATCCCAGCAGTGAGAAAAATGTCAGCAGCCCCCTCATGGTGCAGATGCCCTTTCTTTGCATCTAAACTCTGGGCTGATCCTCATCACCACTCTGCCTTCTGATTAAAAATATCTGACCTTGTGAAACTTCACATGTCTTTCTGGGCTGCCCCCCCCCTGTCCAGTGAAACACCCGTGGAGGTCTGCTGAGGACCAGGCAGCTGTCTGTTTCCACGTGTCCGACCTGGATCTGATGGCCCCCTGCTGCCAGCTCTCCCTAATTTTAATCTTCTCCCACAGCTTGATAACCTATTTTCATGCACCTACAAGGACACAGAGTTGTTTTCTTTCAATGTACCAACATCTGTAAAGGGGTGGGGGCCCAATGTATGCTCAATCCCCAGCCCAGAGGCTGCAGTGCCACGGCACCTACGACAATCTTCCCTCTACTTCTAGCTTTGCTCTGCAGAGAGCAACCGGAGGGACTGTCTGTGGTGCCCGTGCATCTCTCTGCGTCTTTCGTTCACTAAGGGTGAGGGGATGTCGAAATCGAGCAAACCAGCGCTCCTCGCGGGAACAAACAGCCTCCTGCAGAAGCTGCAGAGCTCCGGACTCTGCAGGAAGGGGCAGCCCTTAGGGAAGTGCTGCCACTGCAGCCTCGGAGGTACGAGTTGCCGACAGTGCTATTTTTATCGAGGTCTCCTGAGCAGGGCCGGTAAGTGAAAAACCCGCAATAAATGTTTTTAAATGCTCCTGACGATGGCTTCAATTATTCATCACCACTGCCGTTGTAGCTATAACATTTCCACCACCGAACAGGCAGGTCTGATCTAGCGACGGAGGCAGAGCCCTATGGAGCCCCGAGGTTTCGGATATCCCTCCCGCCACAGCCTGGTAAAAAGCCGAGGGTGGGGGAACTGGGGGGGGGAGTTGGGAAATGCCCGGTGTTCTCCCGCACATCTGTGCTTTGTGAAGCGCGGCGCGCAGCCAGTTCCTTTCTCAGCCCCTGCTGCCTTCAGTGGGAGAGTTTCTCTGCCTGATGTGCTCAGAATACTGTAAGACTCAGAATCCTCGTTTACAGTCTGCCCATTTTCTTCTGCAACGCGCACTCAACGAGGAGCACAAAGTGACTCCCCATTTCCTCTGCGTTGCTTTTAGGGAGTGGCGATCACAGCCCACGCGAGCTCTCCCTGCGCTGCGGGTTGGGGGGGAAGGGTGGGAAAGGGGAGGGGGGACGCGGGGGCTGCAGGCAGCGTCGTCGTCCCCGTGCAGCGGAACACGTGCCGTCCCCGGCCCGCCTGCAGCGAGGAGCTTTTTATAGCAACGGGAGCAGCTCTGAGACCTCGCCTCACTCGCGCTACTCTGCTAGTGCAGCGTTACCTACATATGGGGGAGAAGGGGAGGAGAATTCAGCCCGCACCTAATTAGGAGATGCGTTAACCACGAGAACTAAAAAAAGCCCAAGTGCTATACAGCACGAACAGCGAACCCATCGATCCCTCTCCCCGCCGCTGAATGAAACAGCCGACTCTGAATGGGCGGCAGGGCCGGATGAATGAATGGGGAGCGGGGTGCGCATGAATGGGGGAGCCCAGCGCCATGAATGAACGGGGAGCGGAGGGGACGGATGGGACCGCGGGAGGTCGCTGTGGCGCCGCCGCCGCCGCCCGGCAGCTGGAATCCCCCGGCCGCGCACGTGTTGGCGCGGGGGCGGCTCGGTGTCACCTGGCGGCAGCGGTGGCGGCGGGCGGGGCGGGGGAGACTATAAAAGTGTCCCGCCGCCCTGCGTGCACACTTTGGGGAAACTTCTTAGGCGGAGCACAATGGCTGGCTCCGTGCCGTTCTAGGGCGGGCAGCCCTGCGGCGGAGGGTGGCGGCCGCCGTCCGGGCGCCGACAGACAGGAGGGAGCACGGCCAGCTCTCTCCCGCCCGGGGAAGCGGCGGCGGGATGCGAGCGAACGGCAGCGAGTTGAACGGCACCGTTCTTCCGCGGGACCCGCCGGCCGAGGGCTCCCCGCGCCGACAGCCCTGGGTCACCTCCACGCTAGCCACCATCCTGATCTTCACCATCGTAGTGGATCTGCTGGGTAACTTGCTGGTCATCCTCTCGGTGTACCGCAACAAGAAACTGCGGAACGCGGGTAAGGGTCGCCGGGGGTTGGGGTGGGGGGAAGCGGGGGCCGCTTTGTTCTGTGGGAATAACTTTGCCCCGACTCACAGGATGGAGACGGGCTTTCCTCGGGCTCCTCCCGAGCCCCAGCGGTGCCGGGTGCCGGGACGGCGCGCCTCGCTCCCTGGCTGCTGCAGCTATTTTTAGCGCCAGCCACCGAATCGCGGTGCTATTTTTAGCTGTCGGCGGCTCCCACCTCGCAAGCAGAAGGGGAAGGCATGGAAGCCTCTAAGAACGAAACTGAGCACGGTGCTGGGGATGCTGCTCTGACACTCGCTGTTAGTCTTCATACTATTCTGATCGGGTTGCTTCTAGTTAGAGAAAGTGTCCGCTTGCAGTAGTAAGGTTGTTGCTTCAAGCCGAATGTTGAATTACAGACGCTGCAGGATTCAGAAGAAAAACAGACACGTGTTTCAGGTTCTTTGGTCACCTCCTACTTGCTATGATACCAAGTCTTTGTGGAATCGGAGACGTCTGACAGAAAACAGGTTTAAGCATGTTCTGAAAAAAACCTGTAGTTTTGACAGGATAGATTCTGTGATGTGTACTGCTTAAATCCCTCTTAGTTTGTGGATTATTGGTCTGACAGGCAGGAACTTCCTCAGATTCATTCTGCTTTATCACATCAGGCCAGCTGCTGTGCACGTGTACCAGCTCTGTGCGCTCAAAACTCCACGTATCTTTCACTGAAAGAATATGGGAGTGCATGAAGGGAGCTGTGCTGTTAATGAAAGCGGGATTTCACTCCATGACAACTGAGATACTGGTTTTACTTTTTTCTAGTCATGACTGGCTGCCAAGTTATTTGGTAGCCAGTGGTTTAAAATTCATCTGAGGGGGAACTTGATGCCTGGCTTTGCTACAAGCTGTGAGAATGAAGCTGGCACACAACTTTCTATGGCTAAGCCTGGTAATTCAAGTAGATTGTACTCTTCTTTCATTCAGCTGAAATACAGGAGCACTAAAATACAATATCAGAATGAAGGCAAGCTGAGTTCCCCCCCCCTGTGGTTGCTATTGATCTGCATTCCAAAAGCTGTATCTTCTTGCTTTCATTGACAGAAACTGCTCTCACCGAAGCTGATAGGGCTACACTGTGTGATACTCATCATGAGATGAGAATCAGACTCAAGCAGGTCAAGTCAGCATTTGACAACCTTTGTTTCTTGAGATTTTCTGATGAAGAGAGAAAGGGTAGAGTTACCCACGTCACTGGGGTTATTTCAGGGGAAAAAAAAAGGTGTTATTCTACTCCCCCTTAATAAGTATGAACTTCTCCACTTTTGTGGGGAGTTTACCAGAAATGTCTGTTATAACAAGTCTGAAATAAATGTGGTGCCTCTTCTCTGGAAACATAACTGAATCATGGGGTCTTCTGTGTGTGCATATTCACTACAGTAGTTTTTGTATAATCCCTCTTGAATCTTGACACATGCTCACTTGCTCATTCTTACTGCATCTCTCATTCTTGCCTTTTCTGTCACAGTGGCTGTCATGAACTGCAGCAAACTGGAAACAGTTTTCTCCTACAGCTAGGAGAAGAGCATTCTTCTGAATACAAATTATTTTAGACTGGAATATGGACTAGATACTTTTCTATGCTCTGAAATAAACAATTATTGAAAACAAATAAATACTTAGTATATGATGGGAAATTTGTCTGTGTTAGAGTGGGGGAAAAAAAAAAAAACCAAACAAAACAAACAAAACAAGCAAACAAACAAAAAAAAAACAGTAAAAGTAACTTTGAAGTACCTGATCAGGTAGGTTACAAGTCCTTTTCCTCGAAGGAAAGGTTCTTAATACGTGGATTAACTGACACTTTAATACGTGGATTAACTGACACTTAACTGACATAAGCCTCAATAATATGTGCAAACTATTTTTGTCTAATCTGGCAAAAATCTGTTACCTGCAACTTCATTTATGTGAATGCTGCTGTTAATCTTGGCATTGAATTCATAAGTGTTTACTCAGGTGAGTAAATCTAAACACAACACTTTACAGAACCCTGTGAGTAGGAAGGAGTGTCCTGATTTTAATATCACTAATTCAGGTTATTCAAGAAGAGATAACATTGAAAAAATATAATCTAATTTACATATACAATTAATTTTTAACTTGCAAATTATAAAGACAGATACAACTTTTTACAGAGCTATAACAATAAAGAAACTTTTGACTTTATGAACTTTATAACATCCTATGTTAATAAGTCTTGCTGGCACATTTATTGAGGATAAAGGACTCAGGATGAAAATTCCACTGGAGAAAGGTCAGGGAGGAACAGAAGATACCTCCTGAAGAAAATATCTCATTGAAGACACTCTTCTTTTTTTGCAAGAAAGGACTAACAGAAATGAGGATTATTTAATACTTTGTCAAAAAGGTGGATTTGGTGGGGGATTCATCTTTGCATATAAAAATATATTTGGAAGATTTCTGCAAATTGAACCTGTGGATGTATGTTTAAAAAAAAATGCACTGGGAAGTAGTAGACTAGGAAAAAAAACTTCTCAACAAGTGGTATAACCTTCTTGTCAGTCAGAAGGTTAGTAAAAGACACTGATCAAAGCAGAGGAGTCAGTATCTCAAAGAAGTTTGTCTCAGCAAGCGAGGAGTTTCTGATACTACAAACTCCTTCATAGTCACAAGCATGGCTTCAGTAGATGCTCTTCTAGACAAAGAAGCTGATGATGCAACTGGTAGGATTCTCTTTTATTTAATGTATTTGAATTGTAATAAGTTTTATATTTCTGGTCTGTTTTTTTTAATGGTGGCTTTCTAATCTTGACAGGCACCTGACACCAATTCAGTCCTTAAGGGAACAGCTGCAATTTAATGCTGGTCTACAAAGACTGAATTTGGTTTATGATGTCTGATCTTTCAGCTTTGAAAGAAATTTTGAGGGGAACATTCAAGGCATAAGGATTCTAATACCCACGTTTTGACAGTATGTCCATGCAGCTTAAACTTCAAATTGATGTGCTTTCTTTAATTCATTTCAAGAAGAATGAGAATAGCTCATCTTAAAAGGAAATTTGCTGTAAATTATCTTAATATGTTTCATTTCCCATTGCTAACATTCATAAATCTAGAATAGGGTCATTCAGCAGAAGTTCCACCCTGAATTATGAAATAAGTGGATTTAGGAGAAGGTAGATCAGAGAAATACTAGTAGTTTTTCCTGTCAGTGACTGCTAGTATCCTTATGCCTTTGCTGTTACCCACATCAAGAAAAGCAATGCATCAAGAACAAAGTGAGGGAGCAGCTGTAGGTCTTTAACTATGAAGTTTAGTTTGAAGCTCAGTGCATTAAAATGTCAGTTAATGCACACCTACAATTTTGGTGATGGAGGGGCTGGATACTCAATGATTGTAGGATTGGACTATTAAGGCCAATGAATAAAGCTCTCTTAAGAGCTGTTGTCCCTCTTGTTCTTTTCCTTTTGATACTGTTTTATTGGTCCAGTGGTTTGCCACTTCTGGATATTTTTTGTACTGATGTCTAAATGTGCCCTGATTATCCCTCCAGAAAACTTCTGTGACAGCTGGCAAGATAATAGCTCCACTAGCCTCATTCTGGCTCTTTTGTTTCTTGTCTCAGTAGCAACAGGGGGCTAGTGGCCAAGCTTGTAAACAACTCTTAATGCATCAGGGCAGAAAGATGCATTCATACCCTTCTCTCCCAGCTCTCTTCTGTACTAGATGTATCTACCTTCTCCTGGTTTCCCATTTCCTTGGCCCAAATGTTTTGATAATAGATCTGTAGCTTTTAGTTCTACTGAAGAAGGTGGAGAGGAAATCTGAAATTCGTCAGGCCACACAGTCCTGGAGAAGCAAGATGTATTTAATTCTGTTCATGCTTAAAGTTAAGTGTATGTTAACTACTTCTCCAAATGAGATGGAAATGAAAAAGGAGAAACTTGAATGTGAAGTCTGCCATATCCGCATTATGTCCAAACAGTTCAGTAAAGAAAGTGCACAAAAGAATGTGTTGGAGAATAATCCCCAATCAAAATTTGTTAAGATCAGTGGAGTCTTTGATGCAAGAACTAAGGAACATAGCTATCTAATACTATACTACCTTAAATCTGGTATTTGTTAAATAGCATGACCACTGCAAAATTAGAGGTATTAACTATTAGAAATAAACTTAGAAGGTTTCCAAATTGTCCTTCTATAAAATTATATACTCTGAGCAGTGTAAGAACATGCTTGAAGAATGTTCCTCTCAGTGTGTTTTGCAGAGTATGAATTTTCTATTTAAACTGGGAACCAGCTTTTGATAATCAGATGTGAGATCTCACTAGCCTTATCAGAATATGATTGTTCTTGATGATGTTTTCTTAGTTTTTAAGACAATTTTTAATAGCATATCTAATGCTGTCATTTAATCTAATAAATGAAACTCCTGTTGTGAACTCAAACTAATGGAATTATTGGTTTTATTTCAGGTGATCCTTGGACTTGTTTTTGTGTCCTGAGAGAAAATGGGTAGCCTGACAAGTATTTGACTCAAGAGATAACTTACAGAAGATCAAGTTGTAGCACAAATTCAGGGTTCTGATGAAAACTGAGGTGCTGATGGCATTATTTCAGACATGAATAACTTCAGGTATTAAAAATGGTAAGCTGACTGGGAGGGGAGAAAATGTCTAGAGGAGACACCAAACCCTGGAAACTGTTGAACAGAATGAAGTATAAAAATGCAGTTTAAATAAAGCTGTTTCTCAGAGTGGTTTTGATGAATAATTTACTGAATCAAGGGTTTTCCAGAAAATTGCTTAAATGGCACCATCCTGTCAGTGACCAAAGATAGAGATGAATATTTCAAATAATTAATATTCCATTCTTACTAAAATATCTGTCAAAGTCAGCCATGTATGCCTTCTGCAAGTTTCTGCATTTGTAAGTTTTTCGCGGTAGTGCTTCTTCTGGTTTGCTGCTGCCAACGCTTACTTACATACT